AGCTGCCCCAAGCATCATATCATGAGTTACATAAAGGACTTTGGGTTGAATGGATTGGATCAACTTGTCCCCGGTCAAGTTTAGTAGTCTATAATAATCTAGTTGAAGAGTTTTTCTATGTCAGAGAATCTTGAGGAAATTGAAAGGAATCCAGGAACTGATCTGCACTGGAGAACTGAATTTCAAAATTGAATAACAAGGCTTCCTGATACAAGAACAGGTTTGTGGGCTAGATACACCTTTGATCTTGGAGGACTGAGCCCTTCTTTTGGCACACAGTATTTGATGGATCTGCAATGTGCTTTCCGTCACTGCGCAATGGGATGGTGAGCTTGGCTTTGAGCTCTGATGAGCAGCAAGACCTTAAGGATGCTTTCACGGAATGGTAGCGGGTGATTTTAGCTTCAGTGGGTGGGATGGAATTGAAAAGTCTGTTTTCATGAGGGGAGGAAAAATGGAAATCCAGAAAAAAGGAAGGCCACTTGTTGCAAATGCCTCGGCCTGTGAGACTCGGAATATAGAAGGATGAATAGGGTGATGGGTGAGCCAATGAAATATCTGTAAGATGTTGCAAGGGAGGCGGAAGATTGTTGACAAGAGGGGGGAAAGCCCTTTGAGGGTTATTAGGGATTTCTAGGCTCTGTGATGTGTGTGTGTGTGTGTGTGTGTGAATGCGGTGTTGCATGAGAGCGTTGGCATATGCAGGAGAGGGAAGATAAGGGAGAATCTGGCTATGTGAGTTCATTCCAACGTGGTGATTCCATGACTTTCTTGGGTTGCTTGCATCACATCTCTGGGCTGTTTCTCCTATGGGTGTATTAAGTTTTTGAAGTGCAAACTATCGCATGTGAAGAGCGGTGAGTGCATTCTGTGAAGCAGGCTGTGGGTTGTCAAGGAAGGCAGCCTACCAGCTTTGCTCCATGCAAAGGTGATGTCAGTGCAAGAAGCCATTGCGTGAGCAACACCGTTTATCTTCTGTCAGGTGGTACTAACATAAATGAGAGCGTGCCAGTTTTGGGGAGAGGTGACTCCAGTGGCCACCTTTTGCCAGGGAAGCCAAGACTGCTTAAAGTTTGGGGGGGTGGGGTCAGAAGGTGGGGCTTTCGGATTTCACCACACCACTTGCTGCCCCCCCCCCCCCCCAATGCGAGCATTGTGGTATTTGTGGCCATCTGTTTGCCACATAAACAAGAAAGCTGGCTGAAATTTAGCAGAGGATGGTGTGGCAGAGGATGTCCAGTCCTTGCATACAAATGAACTAAAAATCTGTCAGTCTGTGTTTGGTGGGGAGAGGGCTGGATCATCAACTGATCCAGCAGTTGGTGTGTGGGATTTCAACTTTAAAAGGAGCAGATCCAGGCTGAAGAATCGCACACACTCAATTTACACTTGCAGTATCCCCATCCAGGGAGGGTCACACACCAGAGGTTTGTTTTCTGCACAGATAAAATCCCTCGCTGGATCTGGGTAATCAGCATGTTCAAGATGAAAAAGAAATTTTAAAAGCCTTGCAAGTGACGATTCGTTTCCCAGCTCATCTAAATTCCATTTTGCCAGTCAAATGGCACAAATGTTGTCTGCCAAGTTTGTCTTCAGGGTTTCCAAACACAATTAAACAGAGAAAGATCTACGTTCTCTCTGTTTAACATTTTGATGCACATTCCTCTTTTTCTTTTCTTTTTGGAACATGTTAACTCTTTAAGAAAAGTGTAGTGGAATTATTCTGTAACTTTGGATTAAGAGGTACTTTAGAAAAAGAAGAAGAAGAAGAGAACCTCATTATTTCCTTTGTAAGTGTGCTGATGGCATGGATTCATCTTTCTGACCTCAGTATCCACCCTTTTAAAAAAAGAAATAAAAATAAAAATAAAGGGTTTTTTTGTCCATTCCAATCTTTAAGTCATTTTCAATTGTGGTTGAAGCAATAGAACATTGAAATACGGATTGTGCATGATTGTGTCTTGAGTGTAAAAAATGCAGTTTGAAACTTGGACCTAAATTATTGTAAATAAAAGGAAAAAAATCTAAATACCAGTGGACTGTGTCCCATCCATACGTGAGCCTGCCATAATTTGGAGAGCAAGAATTCCCCTCCCAGTTAGGCTGGAAAGAAACGGTGCAGCTACAGCTCTGAAGTTTTAAGGCTGACCATAGAGACAGGTGCATGGAGGTGCTGAGGGAGTTGTGGGCAGGCACTCCTTGCTTTCCAAGCTGCCAAACCTGGGTGAATTTGGCCAAGTTTGGCTGTCTGAAGGCTTTGCACGGCAGGAGGGGTGCAGAGAGAACCCTCCGTGAACTGAGTTTGGCGGCATCTTGGATTGTGCTGACCACAACAGAAGAAAGGAAAACCAGGTTGCACAATCTCATCGTTCAGTACCAGGCAGAACCAAACACATGTCGAACGAAGGCCTTCTTCGTGTCTGATATATAAAAACTACATAAATGCACACGCACATTTCAATCCAAGCTCCTCACACCTCTTGCTAATGTAGAATACTGCTGATCTCCACCTATGATTATTCAAGCAAGTCTAGTTTTAGGAACCTGCTCGGCAACTGAGGAAGACCTGTGGTTGAAATGCCTTTCATTATTTCTAATATTGAAAGGTCTGATGGTGGACCTTTAATAACTGCTGGACCGAACAAAAATATGTTTAATGAGTAGTACATTTGTGGTCTGCATAGATAAAGCTATCTTATCACACGCTCTGGCTATTACTCAACTTCAGCAGTTCGCTAATCCCCACTAGTTACTTGTTTCCTACAATCTGAGACATGTATGACCAAAGGGTTGTGGAAGGAGTTGGGAAGGCAGAGGACAGTCAGCCAATTCCAGAACCCAAATGTCAGGGTTTTATGGAAGTCGTATGATATTGGGTGGGGTGTTCCTGGCAAGAATTGGCTCAAGGAGGAAAGGGTCCAATGGCTGTTGGTCAACCAGGTGGTGCAACAAGCCCCTCGCTGCTTCCTTTCCCTAGGAGGCAGCCAGGGGGACTGGCACCAGATGGGATTAGGCACCCAATGAAGTGCTACCGATGGCCCCCTTCATGGTGGCCACACCACAGCCTTCCAGCTAGCTGGCACTCCTTCTTGGTCCTGCAGGGGGCGGTGGCTGAGCCCCACTGGCACAGGGAAGTGTGGGAGCAACTGGCTGGCCCAGCCCCATGGTGCATCACTATAAAACTTGGGTCCCTGCTGTTTGAGTCTTAGCAATCAGGACCCATCAGCCACTGCCCTTGCAAGAGGCTGTGAATATCCTTCAAATCAGAGCCCCATTTTTGTCTTCTTCGTTGGCGAGGCATGGCCTCTCTTCAGGGGATTCACAAGTGGCCATTCTATGCACACTCCATTTTCACGGCCATGGAATGGATTAAAATTTGCTTGTACAAATTTTCTCCCCAGACTATAGTGGGATTCTTTTACTTTACAGGGGAAATTCAGTGAGGAAGAAACGGCAAATCTGGCCATATATTTAGCAACTGGAATGCAGGCACAGACACGGCCAGTTCTCAGTTAGCACACGGGGAGCAGAGTTGATGTGATTAGTTTTCTCCAAAGTGATGAGATGCATTGCATTCCTATCTTGGTATTATTTCTAAATTTGCACCTGTGCATGTAAATTAGCGCATGCAAATGACTGCTCTCTGCCTCAGCTCTGGGGAGCTGGTCACCCTACAGTTATGGTGTGGAGGTGAGCTGGACTCAGGATGGTGTGGTGGTTAGTGAGTCAGTAGAAGATAGTTCAGGTTTTAGTTCCCTGAGTGAGGTCTGCTGGGTCCACTCCTTTCAGCCAGATCTGCCTCAGGCAGAGTCTAAGCAGTGCAAGTCGAATTCCCAGTATTGCAGTAATTGGGAAGCTGTGAACAGTGGAGCAAGAATGCCATCGTGTGATCAAGGCTGGTTATTGCAATGGTGCTTTAGAAAATGCTTACTGATAGTGACATGGGGCTGTGTCTTTATAGAATCATAGACTAGTGGAGTTGGAAGGGGGTATGAAGGCCATCGGGTCCAACCCCCTGCTGTTGCAGGACACCAGTTCGCACCATCCAACTCAGATGACCATCCAGCCTTGCTTTGAATGTCTCCAGTGTGGGAGAGCCCACCAGCTCTCCAGGCAGCTGGTTCCACTGTTGTATTGCTCTGACAGTGAGGAAACTTTTCCTGATCTCTAGCTTGAATCTGGGTTGGCACGACCTGAATTGATTATTCCATGTTCTACACTCTGGCATCAGCAAGGAGAAATCTTGACCTTCCTCTTTGTGACAGCCTTCGAGGTACTTATGGAGGGATCTCATGTTCCCTTTCAGTCTTCTCTTCTCAAGGCTGAACATGCCCAGTACTCTCAGCCTCTCTTCCTAGGGCAGTGTTTCCAAACCATTTTTGATGCCCTCCTCTGGACCCTTTCAAATTCTTCTGCATCTTCCTTAAATCTTGGTGCCCAGAACGAGACACAGTATTCCAGATGAGGATTGCTTCAACAGACTAATATTGCCCCTTGCATCAGGTAACAACATGTTACCCCAAGAAAAAGTTGTGGAACTTATATAGCATGTGCAGTGAAGACGGAATTCTAAGAACCATATTTTCTATTTAAGAACAATCGTTTCCCTTGGAAATAAAGTGGAAACCCTTCAAGCTTTTAATGGAAGCCCAGCCAAATATAGATGTCTTTATTTCTTTCCGATTAATACTAAAATATACATATGTTGACACGACTTTTAAAATTTATTTTTAAATTGAAGACCTGTGCTTGCATTCTTTCATTACAGTGTGAATTTCTACTATGGATACTTTACACTGGCTTTTCCACTAGTATATTGGTGTTAGATGAAGGGTTATAATTAGTGACTGCCCCAGGCGCAGGGAGAACCTCAAGATTCAAGAGGAGGAAATGGGGGGGGGCAGCCTTCCCCCATCAATTCATCTAAGTGGCCAAAAATCAGCATCCGTGGGAGATGCAGGGTGTGAGGTGCAGTGATAGTATGGCCTGCTTCCACCACATTTTTCCCTTTATCTAGTTTTTATTTTTTTAACGGGCACAATAAAAATGCAGATACAATAAGGTGCAGTACAAAATCCAATACATGAAATGTGAAAGAGCTTAAACATCTAAAATGATTACAGCACAATGTGGACCTGTTATAGCAGTGGAAAGATCTCACCGTACATCAAACTTCAGAGAGAAAAGGGCTCTTAGAGAATCTTACTGTCCAAAGCTCCTAGAACAGAGTCAGGTTGACCCTATTTTGCAGCCTGTTTCTGGAGCAGAGCAGGGAGCATCTCCTTCTCAGTCAATAAAGTTGACAAAAGGTGCCCAAGGATGCCAAATGTGCCAGTGTTTAGATGGTCCTTTAGATACCTAGCTTCCTGCTTCCATTTCTGCAATGCAGCCAAATTCCACACATTCCCATAGCACTCAGTCAAGCTAGAGATTTTATCACCTCTCCGACTATGGGTGAAAATGTGTCTAGCAGCCAACCACAGAGAAGCAATCAGATCTTTCTGCAAACACTCAGTGCTGAGTTCCCCAAGCCCCCACCACATTGACAGTGTGTGTGGGATGTGTGCAAACCTCAAGCACGGCATTGTACGTGCATCGAGGACTTTCCTTGTTTATGCTGTGTTAATACGAACGTCATTGATGCCTGCGTTTTGAAACGTTTATTTTAAGATAAAGTAAAATCTTGCGAGAGATAAAAGCTCTCATGATGCCGTGACTGCCAACCTGATGGCTAAAGTGCTTGGAAGCACCCGCACATGACTTGCTTCCGTATGATTGGAACGGGCTGGTTCTGAGGGGTGGGTCAGACTGCCAGGTGATCGGTGGTGCAGGGATTCGAGCTACTCGCACACTTGCATGTGAGGAGTTAATTATGCCATTAGTGCTCTTGTGGTGGGTAGTGGCGTCTTCCACAGAGACGCCACTGCTCCTGCTCCTTTATATCCTGCCTTGGACCATTTACCAACATCGCCATTGTGTCTCTGCCCTTTAAGGATATACAATAAATTTGTTTAGGTTCACTCCTGATCTGGATTTGATGCAGTTCCTTCTTCTGGAATGAACACAGCTGTGGTCAGACAGACCACAGGAATAATTTATACTTTTTTAAGGCACCGACCAAAATGTGTATTTCTCGCCTTGGTCTGAAGTGCAAAAATGCACACTGGGGGATCTGCATATTCTGGGAAGTGCAACTTTGCATTGAGTACATTTGCACAAAATGTGGTTCTGCCAGTGAGTGGGAGGATAGAAGAGGAGGCACCTGGAAATCTGTAAAATGCCAAGGGAGCAGATTTTTAAAAGTCTGTACATCGGTCGTATAAATGAATAATGATATACATTAACAGTCCTTTTAAAAAGCATTTCTTTGTTTTGGCCATTCGAAATTGCCTACTCAGGGGCAATCCGATGGAGAGCGTCAAGGCCCTTCCTACCCCCGTTCTTATGGTTCTTTGCCTTTCAGCAGGATCTGAACTGTGCGAAACATTCAACAAGGCACATGTTCAGTAGACAGCTTGGCACATAAAGGAGTGCTCTCAGGAAGGCCACTCGGCCACCATGGCAGAAGGTCCCTTGGGATCAAGGGTAGAAGGCAGGAGCACAAACGGCATCTGCAGCCGTGACGTGCAGCGAGGGGCAGCTCGAAGCAGGAGCATCAAGAGGTCAGCAGCAAGTCAGTCCTGACAATCGTGTACGAAAATAGAGTTAATCTGCTGGCTCGAGTTTCTAAATATGGCAAATCAGAAGCGATTTGGATTTCATGTATGCTGGAAAATATTGAGCAAATTAATGCAAATATTTAAATCCATGCCACCCCTTTATTGGATTTCCAGGCATTATGAAGTCAGGGAGGGGATCTTTTGGCATGAATGTCAACCAGCTGCAATATCATAAAAGCCCGAGGTAGGATCATTGGAACATTTTTCTTGTTAGATTGAAACATGACACAGTGTAGACATTGTGACCCACAGAGCCAAAGAAGGTTCACCAGCCATAGGATGGGGTGCCAGGATTTGACCTGCCTTTGAGGTCTTGGGCCCATTTTCAGAGCCTCCGGGGGAAGGTCACATGGTGATTTGCCTAACCTACAGCTGAAGTGAACTGGGTGGAGTGAGGGGCTTCCCAGGGGTAGAGCTCTTTCTGTGAGCTGCATTTCAACGTTTGGCCCCTGGATGCAACTCTCCGTATGGATAGTGGACTGGCTCAGTGGATTGAAAGATATGAAAAATGGGTCTAAACTCCAGGCGAACACATTCCTAACTGGACAGGCCTAGGGAACCTTCAGCTACTTTCCCACTTGGGGGTGGGGGGGTGGGGTGGAAACAACCCTTGGACTCTAGTAGGCAAAACACCATCCCACAAAGACCTCCTGATTTCTCGAAAAGGGGAAGATTCCAAGCATATTCTGAAGATCTCCAGAGTGGCTTGAGGAGGTTGATCCATGCTCCAGTCAGTTCTCATACCCACAGCACACTGGGGGTGCAGTTGCCACAGAGGCATCAAACTGTCCTTGCCTGCGTCTTCATCAGCCTTCTGATGCTGCCTGGTCCCAGTCGTGTCATCAGGATTTCGTTTAGAATTGGGCCATTCTCCAATGTGGAGGGAGCAACTGAGAACCTGGTTCCAGATGGAAGCAGGACATGTGCGGATGCGGCCAGCTCTGCCTGCACCTTACTTGGCGAGTAACAGCAGCGTATAAACACACGGTATATCTACTACAGCTTCTGGGACTACTAGCAGGGTTGTTGTAGAAATTACTGAGATAAGGTACTGTAAGTGAAGTGCTTCAGACTTCAAAAAAAACATGATATGAGTGCTATATCACTGCTGCTAATTGAATATATTTTCTTATATCCCAGTGCCTGATAAGATATCGCTCTTGATAGCAGAAGCAATAGTGCAAAAAAAAAGGACAGACATCCATTGTTGGTCTCCTGAGTCAGTTGGACTCCGTCCCCATGACTGCTTTTATTCTGAGCTTTATAGGATCTACCCATGGGACTCCATGGGGATGGAATGGAGCCTCATCAGTGCATCCTATAGAGCTCAAAGTAAAAGTTGCCATGGATTGGATGCCCCACTGGTAAGGGAGTCACCAGACTTCCTTATCACTTCCATAAAAATGTGCTGTTAAGTCTTCCTCCTCTTTAGCTTTCAGAAAGCGGTGAAAAATGATTCCATTAAGCCGGTTCAGCTGGAAGGTGAATGAGCAACGCCAGCACCTCTGCAAGGCTATGCTATACAAAGTGCATAATAGCAATGGCAAGGTTTGTGGTAACATTCCAAAATGTCGATTCTCTCCTTGTAGGATTGGCGTCCCACACGTCAAAATGCAGCAGCTACTTTAACTGTGGCAGAGGTACTTGAGGGGGCCAAGAAAATGTGGCATGGTCAGCAGCAGGAGCAACAGGGCATGAACACATTTGCAGCATTATACATGCACGGAAACAATTCAGCTGACTTAATGTGCGAAGCCTCGGTTGTACAACCACAAGGCAAACTTGATTTTCAAAGAAGATGGCTCAAAATGCACCCTAAGTCTATAAAGGGGACAGGTGGTGTGTGGGGCTGAAGGCAAAGGGGCAGGACCAAAGGGGTGAAGGAAAATAGGAAAGCGAATAAAAGCACCCGCTTGTTTTAGCTTGCAGTTCTTGCTGTCAGTTAACAAAGCCTTGGGATAGACTTCCCAAAAGTTTCCAGTGCGACAAAGCAGCACAAAAATGAGGTGGAGACCAGGGAAGCAGCCCGAGAACTGCAATCAGGCAGGCTGGGCATCCAAGAATGCAGAAAGTGGCCCCTGGGCCTCAGGTTCCCCACCCCTGGGACACACACCTAAACGCTCATGCAGAGAGAGAAATGGCACAGGCGAGAGAGTTGCTCTCTGTCACATTGCTGCTCTGTCACTTTCCTTCCTCCCCTGTTCACTATTTCTTGCTGCCCAGGTGGAGTCCAGACACAGCAACCCAGGAAGCCTATTTTTACAGCAGTTGGTGCTTACGTGCCAATCAACTCTCTCCCTTGCTTCACCCTAAGAAAACAAACTAGGTCTCCCGTGGAGAGGTGACAGTCTCGTCTGGCCTGCCGGCCTTTGGTGCTCACAGCCTCGCAAGGTCATCGCTGGAGAGAACTGTGATGGTGATTTGACCTGGCATCTTGTCTGCTTCATGCTTCCCTCTGCCCCGGAGTTGGAACTTCTGAAACTCTTTCGGGTCATCGGGTGAGGCTGGCAGGAGTGCTTGTCCCAGGAACCGGTCGGAGAAGATTTTGCTATGCCAAACCTGGAGAGGGCAGAAGGGGAGGAGATATTACCACAGCTGGATGGACCGGCTCTTCACTTCCCATTGGAAGGGGACGAAGGCTGACTGCACACGCCCCCTGCAGAGGTTCTCTAGAAATGTCTTGCTTTTGTTTGGGTGCACTCTGACTATCTATGTATTTATTTACTCACTGAATTCCACTTCTATGCCGCCCCATAACCAGAAGTTTCTCTGGGTGTCTCACAGGGTTGGAGCATAAAAATATACATAAGTTACAATAAAACAAGTATTAATTGGGTAAAAGATAAAACAATGAAGTAATAGGGCACCTAAGATAAAATATACTCTCACACACCACCAAACACAGCCAACCAATTAACCCAAATTAAATTAAAATAAAACATCCACAACAAAATATAAAAGTATTAAATAAAATTAAATCAACCAAAACCTTGTTTAAATAAAAACTCTGCACAATAGCAACCTTCTGATTAGGAAGAACCGCATGGTCTAAGGCTTGTTTGGTGGAATAAGAAATAATCAAGCACAGGGAGCTGGAAATGGCCCCATTTGCATACCGCCCCGTCGACAACAGCCTAGATGCATCCGAGCTCAAAGCTTTCCATTTGCGCAGCTGAAAGGATAGCATCCCAAGACAGATCCCAGTCAAACACCCTCCCATAACACAGAAACTGATACTAAATAGGGGTGTGTAGGGAGGGAAGGCCAGCTCTTACCTGGACGATAATAGGACACTGAATCTTTCTTTGGCAGAAAACAGCTTGTGTATTGAACACGGCATTGACAGTTCCATACTGCACTGGGGAGTGGACTTTCTTGTTCTCACACTTGATGATTATGTAGGGATTTGCTCCTGGAAAGATATTATCACTGGTTCACAGCTATTTCTAGAATTTCTCCTTTAACGGCACCGTTAGGCAACAGGTTTATCAGGGCTGACCAAAACTCCACAAAAGATGTGCAGGGCTCGAAACCTCTTTTTCTGACTGCTGAACAACATTAGAAGTGGTAACTGCCCCCCATGCTAAAGTCCCAATCTGGATTAGGCCTTTGACCCAACTCTAGAGTAAAAACGTGCAAAAGCTGAGACTTCTGTGTCTATATTGGCCCTTAGAATCATGTAATCATTTCTCCATTTTCTTTCAGGTATAAATTGCCCAAATAGATGACCTTCAGATGTTCTAGGAATGTATATTTAATTATCTATTGAATCATCAGCTTTTGCTAGGATGTTTTGCCTATCAGGTAGTAGAGCTACTGCCCAGATGATGTTGAAACATCCTTGGTTGGTAGTCACTAGTCCAGGAGTATCTGCAGTCGTCCCAGGATATTGTTGGCACCCCTCTGCAGTGGCTGATTTAATGCGCACAGCAAGGCATGGCAATGTGCGAGCAGCAATCCAAGCATGGTTCCATTAACAGACTGGCTTTGCTGCCTGGCCAGCACTTTTCAACATGGAGACCAGCTTGGGTAGTGCAGGGGAGAGGGAAAAAGGTTTTGAATCTCTGGAGAGCTGATGCCAGGCAAAGCGGAGAATAACTGGCAAGATGAGAGATAGCCTTCGCTTTGCTGAGATGAATGGCATCCATCAGCAGAAAGCAATAATCTTTCAGACAAGCAGAAGCATGGCATGGGAGTGAGCTGCAGAGGGCGCTGCTTGACTTCCAAATATCTTTTCTGACCATTTAGGAATTGCTCGGAACCTTCTTCAAGAGTGAACAATGTATGAAAGGCCTATCTGGCCCAGTGGTGGATAACCAGTCGCTTGTGGGAAGTCCCTAAGATTTGGATAAACAATCCACTGGCGCCTCATTAGCACTACATTATATTCAGCAAAGACAGCAGCTGTCTTTGTCTGCAGCAAAGACAATCTCTCTGTGACATCCGCAAACTCGAGAGGCTAAAAACAAGTTTGCACAATTTGGATGGACACATCGTCACTGCATGCATGACATCAAGCTAGGCCTTCCAAATGTTTTGGCTTACAACTCAATAGTCAATGATGAGGGATCGTGGCAGTCATGAAAACTGTGGGGGAGCGCATCCGAGCACTGGCAGCCCAGGACATTCAGAATCAGGTGACAAAGCTCCATTCAGTCAACATTCAGTCTTCCACTGCATGAAGCTAAGAACAAAGGGGTCCTTAAAGCATCCGTTCAAAACAGGCAGAATCCAGTCCATCTGAAACCAAACTGTGAGGTCAAGTTTAGACATTCAGATTACCGAGTGGAACATTTGTTAATTAGCAGAGTTTTATCATTTGATTTCAGTTCTGTTCTGTGTTATTTGCTGAGAGGATGGAGAACAGATTTTGCTTGTAACAATATTCTGTACAAGCCTCTTCATTTTAGCCATCTTTTTTGCCTTCTAGGGCAGTTCAGTGTTACTGGAGATGAAGGGAAATTGCATTTGAATATTCAGGCAATAGGAATAATTTACTGGTAAGAGAAAATGACAAAGACTTTGGGAGGGACCCTTTGCACTTACCGCCACGACTGTCTTGACTTTGAAGGCCCTCAGCGGAGTGGATTTTAATCTGAGTCATCCTCCGAGGGACACCAAAGAGGATATCCAGCCAGCTTAACCGGTGTTTATATGTTTCGAGTTCCCTGAAACATCAAGATTGTAGGCAGCATTAGATGGGATGGAAAGGTTCACTTTGAATCTTTGACTGATCAGGATGCCTGCATGCATCTCAGCTTGTAGGATTCCAAGAATCATAGAATAGTAGAGTTGCAAGGGGCCACGAAGGCCATTGAGTCCAACCCCCTAACTGTAGGCATCTTATGCTGAACATGAGAATTTGTAGTAATGATCTGTACCTCCAGGTTTTAATTCTTTTTCCAAAAAATCTAGCCAACTGACCCCCCCCCCCAAAAAACCCTGGGACTGGACCCACCGGATGTATTTTGTGAATATTTTTATGACCCCCCCCCATTTGAAATGAGGCTGCTCTCTGGGGCAATTGCCCACACCCAGTTCTGAAAGGCTGCAAAACTTTGCAAGAAAGTGAACGGAGGGGTGGAGGCCTCTTCAGAGACCATCTCTGCACCCTCTGGTGGGAACTCAGTGCAGGGATGCAGAAATAGGTGCAGGAATGCAAGGCCAGGAGCATGAATTAAAGACTGCAGGGAGGCCATGGATGGTGTCGGGCCCCAAATCAGCAACCAAAGCAAGTTCCACAAAATACGGATGAAGTGCTGTTCATGCACTGGTGATCTCCACTCAAGTATCTCATCTTTCTTATTCGCAGTAAGCCAAATAAATGCTGTGTTCCCTTAAGTGTTCCCAAAACAGCTGCAGCTGACATCACCTATAAAATATCTGCAAAAGATGCATATAGCTGGAAGCAACGGAGAAGAGAGGAAAATATCCAGCGACCTCTAATTCCTAATACCTGAGCTCGGACGGCACATCAGTGAACATCCTCAGAATAAATTCATCTTCAATGCCAGGGCTGAAGGTGGTTGGGATGAGGACATATCTGCCTTTCTTGAGGAGCACCTTCAGATATACCATGCGGTTGTCAATATAGGTGGAGGTCGCAACCTTCTCTTGTATTCGCAGTGTATGCATTCGATATTCTCTGTTGTTCTCCACCTAGAGTTGGAAACCAGACGTAGGCAAAATATTATCTAGTCACACACAAGCTTGGCTAAGCGAACACTGCAGGGCATCTGGTAGGCTCCAAAGTTTGGGTTGGACTGCATCCAAGATCCACTGTTGGAGCGTATAGGAGAAAGGAGGAGCTGAGAAAGGCAGAAGAACACTTGGCATCTCTACTATATTAGTGTAAGCATAATTAAAGCAGAAATTTGGATGTTCCATTATTACAGTGTATCCATATGCTTCTTACATTCCATTTATATCTCACCTGTTTACATCTAGTGAGAAACCTGAGGTTGGCTTCCATGTGTCCATTATCATCCTCACAACCACAACCCTGTTGGTAGGCTAGGCTGAGAGTGAGTGATTGGCCCTGAGCTACCCAGGGGGTAACCTGGTTGAATGAGGACCAGAGTCTGCATCTCCAGGACCCCAGTCTAACACATTAACCACCACATCCCATCATGTGGGCTCTTCCTGAATCCAGACTTACCTTGAAGATCTCAAAGCCCATAGAGAAGTGATAACCTGCCCCTTCTTTCCTGAGAATGCGCTTGTCTTTCTGCTGCAGAGAGATCAGCACATCATCTTCAGCCTTCTTCACATCAAAGACATACTAAAAGAAAGGGGAAAGAGCTCAGATCATGGCATCTCTTGATGACCCTATGAATATTTGATTTCAGCAAAGGACCTCTATCACAGAAGTTCTCTGCAGAAAGCATTATTCCACAAAGCCATGTACCTATTATTGGAAACCTTTTGTTAGCAGGGACCAGCAATAGAACATTTCTTCAGACTGCCTCCCCCAGATGTGTTGGACTGTGATTCCAAGAGTTGTCCGTGGTGTTTGGGAGTTATGGGTTATGGGCGAAACCGTCCAACACACCTGGAGGGAACCAGCTTGGAAATCCTGAGGTCTGGCCACATGAGAGGAATCTACTCCATGTTATCTCTGTCCAGTTTTTCTCCATTTATATGAATGCCTGGAGGGGAAGCTTGTAAAAGTTCAAAATCCTCTTTGCATGTGTAATCTGTACTAGGGAAGGGCAAACTGGAGATGTTCAACTTGATTGAGGTTCTTCAAATTCCCCCTGGAAGCTTATTTCACCTCATTCATATCCCCAAATGAAAAGATCCTCCTTCCCTAACCCACATGTGGAGAAATACACATTTTAAAAAGCTTACACTTCCCAACTGGAAACAATGTGCATTTTAAAAATGTGTGCTTTCCCAATTGAAAATGCATATTTTCCTTCCAGGCTAAAGCATGGACCTGAGGATTTGAGAGGCATACATGCCTTAGCACATGTGTGCATTTCCAGAAGTGCATACTTCCATTTTATGCTTGGAACAACAGCCCTGTGAGATAGCCTGGCTGAAGGGCCCGTGACTGGCCCAAGGTCACCCAGCAAGCTTCATGGCTGCATGGGGAGTAGAATCCAGGTCTCTGGAGCCCCCGTGACTGACCCAGCAGACTTGGAATGGGACACAGTTGATGCTGCTGAGCAATATAGACACTATCAAGTGTTGAAAAAAGGATGAACTAGAAGGCTAGCTGGGGAGAACTTTCACCTTCTGCCCCACTTCCAAATTGAAGCCCCCAGTGGGAGAGCTTTCGGCTAAGCTTTCCCGCACATGTCGGTCTACTTAGAGTCCGGCTGCGGCAGAAAATGAAGCCTAAACCATGGTCCAACCTGTGGGTTTTGTAAAAAGGTGGCTTTGTTATTTGAACACCCCCCGGCGCGGTTCAGCAGTGGGTCTGGGTTCTTCGTCCACCTTCCGCATATCATTTTCCTCTCCCAGGTCTTATGGATGCTAAAGAAGGACGTGTTCACAATCCGACAGACATCGACGTCAGTGAAGTTTTTGCACCAGTCTTCAAATGTCATCCTGACACATGGAGCAGGAAAAGAAAAACACCGTTTCACTTGCCAGCAGTGAAGGGAGCGGAGTGTGTGTGGAATGCTGGTTATCTCGACACAGAGAAGGAATATCATTCTTTTTAAAAATACACATCCCATCTGCCAGGCCAGATTTCCGCTGCTGCAAAAGTACGAGGATGAAAATCCTCTTCGTCCCACTTTTCTCTGTAACCCTTTCCCCCTTCGCCTGGGCACTTGGGGGTAGTAGAACTGCTTAGGAATATCCAAAAGTTATGGATGTGGCCTCAGGGATCATTCCAGCAGCTATCTTCTACAGGATTCAAAATTCTGCTCTTGTCAGAGCAGAGTGCTGCACCTGAACCAGGTGAATACATGGCCTCTTCAGCAGCATCCTCTCCTTTGTCCTGCCTGCCACCTTCAACCTTCACAACTCCGCTACTGGCAGAAGCTTTCCATGAGAACCAGAAAGCTCCGTGTTGGACAATTTTGCCTTATTCGTGTGGGAAATGCTTTAAAGCAGGAGCAACTGTGGACTTCCTCTCTGCTTGGTCTGCTTTCTAACACTGGGCAGAGCACAAAAAGAAGTCTGCGCCCCAAAGAGGGGTGGAGCCTGGGGAGCTTTGTCTCAACACTGCTTTAATGAGGCTGCTGAGAACATGGTGCTAGGAAGATAGGAATGAGGCTTGGCTCGGCTCTCATGGCCGGGCCCTTTGGTGGAAGGGAAAAGGCTGCACTGCTGCTTCAGTGGTGAGACTGATTGAACCCTTTGCTTTTTCACTCATTACGCAAGGGCTGGGATTCATTATTCTGGGGAAAAATAAAGTACTGACCATGTAGCAAAGGATGTCAGGCGTCAAAGCTTTCCAGGGAGCCAGACAAGATGCTATCCAAAATACACACACATATTTTGCAGCTGCACAGGGCAAAGGAGTCTGGCCTTTGCCTTCTCCATTCTTACTTATTTTCTCCAAAACAGTTAGATGTGGAAGGGGAAGCTTGCCATGTTTGTTTCCGTATGGTTTCCCCTTTGGGAGTAATAATGCCTTGGGAAGTACCCCATCATCCCATGGCTGCAAGGAGTTTCATAACTAGAAGTTTGGAACATATGGTTTGCAGGGGGTGGTGAGAGGGGAAGAGAGAGAGAGAGAGAGAGAGAGAGAGAGGGAGAGAGAGAGAGAGAGAAGGTGATACTCTGTGTGTGTGTCTGAACGTGTGAGGGGTGAACAGATACAGAAACAAAGGCGTGTTTGGATGGTCAAAAAGATAACAAACACTGAGGCTAGAAGCGATTTACATGGAGGGGGTTCAGCACAACTGGAGTGAAGGAATGTGCTAGGAAGGGCTAAAGTGGAAAGAGGGCATATCTGGACTTGGAGCGGGAACAGCCCCAGGCTCCCCACAAGTCTGCGAAATGCCATTCACAGGGGGAGGCTGTCCGTGTTTCATCCATGGCACAAACATCTTTGCTTACCAGAACTCTCCATCATTTTCGATTGTGAGCCCGAGCTTCTTGCGTTCTGCTTTGCTCACTCTTTTCCATTCTTCGGATCTGGGGGGGAAAGGGTTTGCTCAGCTGAATCTCTGTGTTTATTCAGACAAACCCATGAAAAGGGCTTCATCGCATCGCCCACCCCCAGAGTCTCTGAGAAAGTCTTTCTCAGCCCATCTGCCTCAGATGCTCCCCTAACCCTGCTCCAGAACAGGAGATGCCAGGCAAGCGACGCCTGAGGCACGCAAAGAGGGTGTCTGTCCCTGAGACAGGGACCCCCTTTTCTCTTACAAGGACAGCACAGGGAACAAATGAGGAAACCACAACGAAATGTTGCAGTCCGTTCCTGGTGTCTGTGTGCAGTTCTCTCCTCTGTACTTTAAATTAGCCCTGCCTCTTGCGTAAGCTCAACTTCCCAACCCCGATTCCACTGCATGTACTGACTAGACATATAGCCAAGTTCCTTAAACAACTCTTCTTTAAAACATTGTCTCCTGTTGTTAGAGTGAAGTGTGGCGGGTGGAGGGGGTGGGGAGCGTGTGTCATGCGATTATTATTTTTGCCATTTGAAACTTCTCAGCTCCAACTTCGATTGAATTTAAGTGGAAGTTAATGGCTGGTTTTGGCTGGAATAAACAGTGTGGCCTTTACAAACGGAGGCGCTGAGTTCCCTTGTGCCTCGGGCTATTTCAGCACTTGGAGGAAGTTGGAAAAGCTCCTGCCAAATGAGAGATATCACCCCGAGGACTGGGTTTGGTGGAAGGGCTGTGGAGAGATAACAGGTTAGTGCTTTCAGCACTGAGGGAAGCCTGCCTGCACAGACACACATGGCATTGTTATGATTGCCACTTGGAATGGGCATACAAGCAAAGGGAATTCGCCTGTGGTCCTTTGTCGGGGGTCACGAGAGGGTTGCCGGGGGAAGGAAAGGGGTGAGAGAACTGCTCCAGGTTCACGGAATACAGGCTAATGCTGTAGATGTCTATCCATTTGAAAGGCCTTCAGAACTAGGAAAGCCATTCAATGAAGGTACTGCATTGGTTTGGGTATAGCCAGAATTCCCTTTGGAAACACTGAGAAATTGCATGTTTTCATTTAGTATCTATCAGGATGGTACCAGTGGTGCCACCAAATGTCATAATCAGCACTCTGGCAGTAATTTTCTCATCCCCCCCCCTCCTTTTTTTTAAATGAACCTGGATTGGCATTTCACAAGTTCATTTGTAGGGTATCTGATTTCCACTTTGGAACCAACAAATGAACTGAAACTCTGTTGTCCTTCAGAGTGTGAGTTTGGCTGAATTTTCTCATGGCATTTTGCAATCCAAAACATGCTTACAAGAATCATGTATTGGGGAACTGGACACACTGAAATATAGAATTTATTCAAAAATGGATTCGAGGAGGAAAATGATTTGCAAAAACATGTGCCGGGAGAAATGTGCACAGAAAGGAGTATGAATTTTCTTGCAAGCTTTTACTTTAAAAAAATCATCAGAGGCAAACCAAATTTACCAATGAGAAACTGAGAGGAAACTGGACATGAGAGATTTGTTCATGTATATGACTCAAGCATCGGATCAGTCACAGTGAGAAAAAGGATGCTGCCTACGTTAGACCCTTGGTCTGATGCAGACAAGTTCTTAAGTTTCTAAGTTTTCTTGAAGCTTAGGAAAGAACTGTACCTTAAGTACAACACTTCAGATTTAAGGTACAACCCTGCCAGCTTCCCATTCTGTTCTTCCCTCTACTAATGTTAAGTATTGCAAAAATCCAAGAAGTTACATCTTGCACAGGAAGTTTTCACACCCAGTTGCTACTTGTGTGGGAAAACTCACAAAGCCATGACAAAGCCAGTGTGGTGCAGTGGTCAGCGTGTTGGTCAGGGACTCAGGAGGTCCAGCAGAAAGGATGGCTGACCTCCCCACTTCTTCTTGGACTTCTTACTTCTGCCCCTTGTGGAATCAAGAGTGGAACGGTTCTGCTCTCAATCGGGAGCTGCTTTCAGCCTCTAAGTGAGCCCCTCAAAACTGGCCTGTGGACGCTTCTGGGCACCACAGGGGCATAGCTTACGTGTCACTCCATGCCCCATTCCACTCCTTCTTTCCCCAGGGATTGCGCAACCGGATCATGAAGAGCTTCTCCGACTTGGCACAGACCACAGGATTCTCTCCAAGGTTCATCTTCAGGACTTTGGTCACTGAGTAGGCATGGCTCTTAACCAAGCCCACAATGGTCTCCACCTCAAAATCACTGGGGGACTGAGCCTGTGGCAGAAGGGAAACAGGGGACATGAGCATCAAAATACATCTGGAGAAAAAGCACATCCACCAGACTTGCCAAAACAGTTGCCAACATGTCAAGCAGATCATTTGAGATGCCAAAGCAATCCTTTTTCTTATGGATGATTAAACATAGTTTTAAGCCATGTAATCACACCTCCTCTCTATCAATAGTTATTTTTATTTTCTAAACCCCCAAAGCTCTCAAGTTGGTGGGCCACATGAGGAAAAGGAAGAAAACAAACCAGCTGCGCAAAGTTCTAACCATCTTCACCATCAGTTATGCTCAGAGCTGGCTAACGCCAAGTCTGTGGTGTGTCTCCGTGATAACAACTCAGGCAGGGTTATGCTGAGATCCCCTGACATTTCTCGCAGATCCCTCACAACTCTTCACTTGTGTTGTTCACAGGATGTGTTTCCATGACAGCGCAAGGCAAACCTAAGACGATTCCTTCTTGTTAATGCTGCAAAGGTCTGACAGGAATTTTATGGCTCACACAACCACCTTCTCAGTAAACAAATGCTTTCTGCATTCAGATGCACAAACTTGGGATTCTCTGATAAGAAATGATTATCTCTCTGCAGTGACGTACACTCAAGAACTAAAATCCCTGCACTGAACAAAAAGCAAGACTGCCTGCAAAATCATCTATATTTCTTAGGGCATAAGTTATGGGGGAAGCTACTGCTTTGTCCATGTTGAACTGATAGAGAAGTCCTGCCCCAAAGAGAGGTTTTCACTGTCATTCCTAATATAGGAATTCATTGGAGGAAGTGAATAGAGCAAGACCTGCAACTACCGTGGATAGATAGCAATACCTGCAAAGTGCTGCTTTATTTGTTATTTGGGCTGTAAAAGACCAACACAGCTACTTTTCAGGAATGCTTAATGTGATTCCCATTGAGCATCCGCATCAGATGAATATTGACCAACAACAAATGAGTCTTTAGAAAGTGGATTGTGTGGCTGAGAGATAAGCAACAGGATAAATTGGGTGGGATGGGAAGTCAGCTTGTGCTGGAACTTGGAAGCCTTTATCTAAACTATCTAACTCTGATCCAGGAATTATTCATCTCCCATCCCATTCCCAAAGGGCTGGATGTCCTGTTCTTGGAAAGGTCAAGAATGGACCATGGGTGGTCAAGGGGCTGGTGCTTTCCAAATTTCCAGCCTTCTGGGGAATACTTTTGGCACTGATTTGCCTTCTCCTGGAAACCTCAGTATCCTTGCAAAGACCTTGGAGGGCTCTATGGAGCATTCTTTATTATTGTGAGCCGCCCCAAGGCTTTGGCAAATGGGGTGGCATAGAAGCCTCCTAAATAAATAAATAAAATAAATTCTCAATTGATGCTCAGAACCCATTTAACTTTCCTGGGTTCCCCATTGTCCTGTCTGGACAAACAGTATGAAACACAACACGGTCTCCAGAGAGTGGATACATTTTAGAGGAAAGTAAGATTGGTTAACTCTATTGGATCTGTTTATAGAAGAGCCGCAAAACCTTCCCAAGAAACCTCAGGCCTCCTAGATAGACAGTCGTGTGTGGGGGAATTCAGGCTATTGAAATATCAAGGATAGGATGAAGGAGAATGGCTAAAACCCTAAACTGTTGCGGTACTAACAAAGACACTGGCCAATAGTAAACTTTTCCGCAACTGTGGCCTTATGGAAGCTATGCTTTCCACTCGTGGCAGCGTCTTGAAGCACTGTTGTGCAGGGAGAGATCTTCTGTATACCTTTCACAGATGGGGACTGCAGCCAAGAAATTAAAAGACGCTCCTGGGAAGGAAAGCTATGGCAAATCTAGACAGCATACTAAAAAGCAGAGACATCACCCTGCCAACAAACATGCATATAGTCAAGGCTATGGTTTTCCCAGTTGCAATGAATAGCTGTGAAAGCTGGACCATAAGGAAGGCTGAGCGCCGAAGGATTGAGGCCTTTGAACTGTGGTGCTGGAGGAGACTCCTGCGAGTCCCTTGGACAGCAAGGCGATCAAACCGGTCAGTCCTAGAGGAGATCAACGCTGACTGCTCTTTAGAAGGCCAGATCCTAAAGATGAAGCTCAAATACTTTGGCCACCTAATGAGAAGGAAGGACTCCCTGGAGAAGAGCCTGATGCTGGGAATGATTGATGGCAAAAGGAGAAGGGGACGGTAGCGGATGAGGTGGCTGGATGGGGTCACTGGGGTGGTGGGTGTGAGCTTGGGTGGACTCCGGGGGGATGGTGGTGGACAGGAAGGTCTGGAGGAATTTTGTCCGTGGGTTCGCAATGGGTCGGACACGACTTCACGACTGACAACAACAATCACATCTTGGACCAAGGAGTGTCACTTCCTCCACTGAAATGACTGATTCAGTATAGCTCCTAAAGGGAAGGAAGAAAACTGTTGTTTTGCTGGGCTGGGTGAGTTTGGTACATTCAGGCTGGTATGTAAATAAAATGAGCTATTCTCGAAGTCTCTCTCTCTCTCTCTCTCTCTCTCTGTGTGTTCATATATTTATACTGTAGCTCGGAGGATGGGAATAGTTTGGCTAATTTCTGAGCCAACTCTGCAAGAGCACTCAAGAAAGCTAGTATGCTCATTTGTGTTTTATACAGAGCCATGCCTTCTGTTTTCCCACATTTTTCAACTGTTCTCATTCCATTTGACAGAAAAGGAATCACTTTCAGAAAGAAATCCATTGGTATTTTTTCAGAGCTATTCTCCTGGGTGGGAGTGGGGTTTCTTGTGCCAAGAAGAAGAGTGTGTGCAGATGTCTTGTTTTCAATTTGATAATTTCAGGTGCCGATCTCTGCAGAAACTGGTAGGCTCCTTGCTTTCCCCCACCTCAGTTGAAGCCCTGGGGAAGGCATCATGATGGACTCCCTCCTGTAAGGTCTTTTGGGGCTGAGGAAGAAGAGGCAGCTTGGAAAGCTTTGCAGCAGTGGAAACAGGCGTAACAGGAAAACAAAACAAGCAAGCAAGCAACACCCACAACCCTTTCCTTGGCCACCTGGCAGCATTCATTTTGGTTCAGAATTAGGGTTGTTGGACTCCCTGTGAGGTGGAATTCTTGGCAAACATGTCTAGCATTTGTGCGGTGTTCATCAGGAGTGGCGCTCCATGCAAACACTGTGCAAACTGCGTCCCTCTTCCGTGCCATGTGCTGCAGCCTGTTTGTGCTGCATCCGATGTGGAAGGAGGTTGCTGGTTCCACAAATGTTTGCAAAACTCTTCTTGGTTTGGCTTGCTTTCTGAGGCAGGAGAGGAAATCCGCAAACTGAAGCAGGATGGATTCTGCAGAACTTCATCACAACGCTACTCAGAAGCATCATAGGAATGGATTATAAAACATCCTAATAATGGAGAAGTACAGTGGAAGCATCTTTCCTGGCGTGGGAGAATCTTTCAGGACACTGGGGGACAGATTTGGGCAGGACAAGAACTCTACCTCTTCTCTGGAAGTAGATGCAACTCTGCTTCCACACACTTGCATTGCAGGGGAGACAAAACGTCAGGGAGGGTTCACAGAGCTAATTTTATAGGTGCGTGACAACTGACATTCACCCAGATCTCTATAAGACATGCAACAGCCGCACTTATTCCCATACCCGGATGTAAGCACTGATCAATCCCCCTCTTCTGTGCACTTTCAGCAAGGTTGCGAAGAGCTTTGCTTGCTTAAATATGTCGTAGTTGTATTTGCCTTCAACCAAGTCAATGGATTCCGCAACTGCTCCCGTAAAGTCAACGATTGCCTCTGCAGCGTTGCCACTATCCAAGGCTTCATAGCACCCAGACAACCTAGTGTGACACAAAGCAAATGGAGAACAAGCCCCACAAATGAAAAAAGCTGAACTTGATCTAACCTCTTCCTGCCGTCTGAGTGTTTATGCACAGAAGAAGAGCAAAAGGAAGTGAGAGTGCGGCTTAGGCAGGAACTAAGATGTCCTATGGGTGGTCTCTGAGGGATGGTGGAGGAATGTTTTCCATTGGGCATGACTTTGTGACTAAACCAAAAAACCAAGATGTCCTTAGTGACACAAGGAAGTAACTCTCTTCCCACAACCTCTCTCCTTTCTCTTCCCAGCAGATCATGACTGAAGGCTTCTAACTACAATCTTTATTATGTTAAAGGTCATGAGAAAGAGACAATCAATCAAGTTAACACCCTCTCATTTCGGGAATTAGTCCATGCCCATGCCAGCAGTTGATTCTCAGCTGAATGCTTCTCATCTCTTCCCCACCAAACAGAGGTGGCTCCATACTCAGGAAGGTTCGTGTTGCCTACAAGCACGATTGCTTTAGGGTTAAAGTGTTTTGCTGTATTAGGAGCATTATGTTCATAGGTGACTAATGCCAATTTGAAACAATTACTTACTTTGCATAAGCTTTCTCCAGAAGTGCACACCAGAATTCATTGCGGTCCTTAGACGAGCAGAAGAGCAGTTCGTTGCTTCTGGTTGGCAACCGGTCATCAACCACCACATCGATCCACTCTCCAAAACTCCAGAAATGGAAGTGAAATATCCCTGCATATTTCTCTGGCCTCATTTGATCCCAGTCTTGTTCCTTAACATTTGGAATAACCTGCAGTAATGCCCACCCCACAAAAAGATAATGTTACACAAAGCAATGTTCTTCGATGAACTGTTGGGCTTGATCGTTCAGTTTGTGTATTTATTTGAAACAGAATTTTAATAGAAGACAAGACTGTAATGGCAATGAAGTAAATATCCCTCTGAGTTAAGACTGTTCTTTCACAGAAAATAAATAATCCCTAGATTATGATATCATAAACAGATCATTAGGCTCCCAAACCATTCCTGATATCTGAGTTTTCACTTGGACTTGGATTTAGAGATGGACATATCTTTCATTGTTGATTTCTCTCAGTTTCTCATTCCTCTCCAATCTTAACTTCTGTTTGTCCCAGGCTATGAGAACTTTAAAAAAAGTTTGCATGATTTTTTAAAAAGTCTGCATTTTGCTTCAATGGCCTTTGGAAGAACCACTTCTCCCATGTTCCTCTAGTTGCTGTCTGCAGCATGCTGCAATCCAGTTGATAGAGAAGCAGGGAATGAAGGACAAACCCTTTCCTTTTCTCATAGAGGGCCGTAACTTCTGCTGTCACCACCTGATGGTAAAAAATGATGGTGGTCTGAGCATGCAAGGCTGGTGGAAAGGTCTTTCAGGGCAAGTAGTGTCAGGCAATGGAAAGCCAGGAATTCTTTGTTAGCTCGAATTTTGTTTCCCCCGCCCCCACCTCATCACTTTCTTCAAACCCTTCCTCAAAATGTACCTTTTATGGGAAGTCATTGGTACAACTGCCTCACTCTAATGAAGCCTTAGTCTGTGAAAGTGAAAAGATTCATCTGCTTCCTTCATGTGCCCATGCCTCACTTCCATCAATAACTGAGACTTTAAATTTCTGTGTATTCCAAAGATGTGTTTACCTGTTGCTATGAGAACAAACAAACCAGTCCTGTTAGTCCTTCTGGATCAAGCTAGACATGATGCTGGTCTGCTGGGTTCCTCACCTCTCTACTTTTCTTTAAAAAACAGGAAGTGGGGTTTGGACCATGGTTTGAAGTAGGATGACAGTGCTAGAGAAGGGAAGCTCACTCTTCTCCCCATGCCATTTTCCTAATGTAAATCAAGTTCCTTTCCCGAAAAATCCCCACACAATTTTACCATTAGATAAATGGAATATCCTTTATTCACCAGAAATGGGATAACTGTGACGTCAGCTTTAGCCAGCCTAGTGAATTTCCTGGTTGCAGTCCTGGTATTACCAGCCAGCATGGCCATGGGCTTCAAAAGAGCATCGACTTGGGAAATGCTCTTTTCACATGGCTCTCTGCAGTTTGCTGCACATTTGAAATGCTCATCCTCAGAGACCTTTAAAAGTGCACATCAGAAACTCATGTTCATGGACCATCCTGCTGGGAAGTGTTGGGAATCAAACGTACTTGCAGGAGCCCAGATCAAGGGAGGCTGACTTACAAGGAGCCACATCCAGTGGGTTGTATCTATTATTAGTGCAACTCAAGTCACATCATTTCAATGAGCCTACTTTAAGTAGGACTAACAGTGGACGCAACCCATTGCCATTTATGAAAATATCCTTTGCTCCTCTTCCTGGACCAAAAGAACTTGAGATGCTAGGTCATGCCTGATCCAACTTTGTTGTGGACCAAAAGCAAGCATGATTCCAGAATACTCAGTGGTGGTCTTCTCAGCCCCATGTCTGAGAGTGTCTGTTGGTTGTTAACAGCAAAGTACCTTTTGCCAGAGCTTCTTCTGAAGAGCCAGGCAGGAGCAGGCAGCAATGAACCAGCAGTTGCCCAGCAACCCTTGGTGCAAGTCGTGGGAACTGATTCCATGTACAAACAGGTGAGGATCATCACAGAGCTCCTGTAAGCAAGAGACACACTGGTTTTCATTGTACAGAACTGGTGAGTGGTTGCCAGGGGTTGAGAATGGCTCAGCGCATATACAACCCACACGCTCACGGGCAATAAAACTAAAGTCTTTTATTGCTACTTGTCTGCGAGATTCACAACACTACAGATAAGCTCTACTGTTAAGGTCTTTACAAGTCAGGTGCTAACTCTTTAGTGACGTCTCTTCCTGAGCCCACGTGGGACTAGCTCTCTTGGTCCTGCCTTTCCTCTCTGAGGTGGGACAAAGCCTGTTTTTGTTCCCATCGTCTCAGAATTCGTCTATTGGTCGTGAGAGAAAAGTCTATCCCGCCCCCTGTGTCTCCTGCGTCGTGCTCAGGAAGCTCAGCGTCAGGAGGGGGTGGGGCCGTCTGCTCAAACTCTTCTGAGCAGAACTCATAGTGCCTTTTCCCCGGAGCTCTCTTGCTTTGATGTAGGCTCGGGTGTTTGTTCAATGGGTGGAGGGTCAGGATGAGGTACGGCTATCTGCTCAGCCGTTCCCAAGTCAGGCTGTGGGGTTGACATTTGGGTACAGGGTCTCAAGCACAAGACCTCCTCGTGACGTGCTGCCTCTGTCGGGGCATCAGGCACAACACCAGCGTGTAGAACTTTGCTGAGATAGGAGCCACCAATTCCTGCAGGGTATTAAGGAGCCGAAGGAATGAAGAGGTGAAGGGGACAACGCTCCGCATGTGTGGCCAGCCATGCTGAGACAAGCCCAGTGTGGCTGGGGAACACTGGAAGTCGTAGGGCTTTTCCTCTCAAAGCACACATAGGTTTTCACAATAACCCTCTCATTTTCTTTCTTGCCCATTAGCTCATGGGAAGACCCACCATAGATAAGGCCCCCGCAGGTAGCTCGAGGTAATCTCCCCAAGTCAAAGGTCCTGGTTCCAACACTTATGGGTTTTATGCACAGAATGCCTTCCCCACTCATTTTAGAGAATTCTGCACTTTGCAACAAGCACTTTGCTCAGTGCTGTCACCGGAAACAACCACACAAGTCCCCTGTGTAGGAGTCGTGTGTGCACAGCAGAGGGGCAGACCTTTGGACCGGAGAGAAAGAAGCCTGGCGTCAGGGTGCAGTGGCTGAAATTGCAACCTATGTTTTAATCTCTGTAGGACAGACCCTCTCAAATCACCTTGGAAAAAGTACAGAATTCTGATTGTCTCTAGAACACTGAGTCTCTCCTTTTCCCAACTTCCTTTTCTTAGGACATATTTCATAACTTTCATTCCCGAAAGCCTGGCCCAGACATTCCATGCTGTTTTGTCAGGTCCGTTTGTGCTTTTGGAGCTGGGGTTTCGAAGCCAAGATTATCATCAATCAAGCTGGTTGCAGCTGACCAGTGGACAGTGACTGTGCTTCATGTTCACCTCCCTTTGCTAGAATAACAGTGCTGCGCTGCCATCCAAATAGCAACCCACGCCTGGCTTCTCTCGCCACTTGGAGCTGGAAAGTTAAAGAGGTCGGTGCTGCAGTCAGCCGTGCATGTGGATGTGGTTAACGAAGTCTGTCCAAAAAGGCCCAAAACAAATATCAACATGGCATGAAGACAACATAACATAATGACAACATTTCATACTTTTTTTCTTTTTCTTTTCTTTATTTTAGAGCCAGTCTGGGAATAACTGTCATTAAAAAGTATTTAGAAGTTTATATTCCTAACTAATGTGGTGAAAATACTGTCCTGTTCGGTGGCTCTTGTTGTTGGATGTTTGAAGAGACAAGGGCTCTAGTTGTTGGATGTTTGAAGAGACAAGGGCTCTTGTTGTTGGATGTTTGAAGAGACAAGGGCCACTGAGAAGGGCAGGCATGGTTGGGGAGGAATCTGTAACCTGGGTTTTCAGCATCTGCTCCAGATGCCATGGAGGGCCAGCTTTCCCAGGTCACACAAAGACTTGTGAACCAATCTTATTAATTTTGCATATCTTTGCACAAACATATTATCTAAAAATGTGCAAAATAAAAAGGCACAAATGTGCAAATTCTGTCACAGGCTAAAGCAAGAAAACACACAGGGGAGCGGAGTGGACAACCAGCTTCTTGCTTTCATCCACAGCTAAGCTCTGCCTCTCCACTTCTCTAGGTCCGAGGGGCTTGGGAACCTTGTAACATACACACAGTGGTGTGTGTTTACTTGGGAGTAAACCTTGACATGTAAGTCAGCATGCCTGTACTTATCCTGCACCAGTGTGTGTTACAGAACTATTCTCTTTGAGTTACAATAAAATTCACACACATTATTTCCTTTTGGTGCATTCATAACTCTCCCCTAAATCAGACGGTAATTGACTTGGCTGATGTTCCTTAGAAGGAGAAGATGCACGTCCTTTCAGAAGTACTAAATAATGCTATGGCTTTTTTTTCCTCTGCAGAAGCATTGATGAACACTTCTGCTAAACTTTATTGCCCACAACAGAGCTCATAAAAAGCAAATGTCTCCTTCTTTACTTGACAAGAGAGAACCCTTCTATAAAACTCACAGGAATGCTCATCTTTTCTCACAAATGGGCATAAAAATGTTAGCACCACCTCCGGAAATAAATCAGATATTTTTTCTTTCATCGGAAATGAGCCTGAAAGGAAAAGAGAGAAAAACAAGAGTGCCCATGGAGCTTTGATTTGTCCTAAAGGAAACTTTTACTGGAATCTTCAAGGGTACATTCCAATGGCCTTCTTTGGGACTCCAAAGCAGGGACGCGTGACGAATCTGTCTTGTGTGGAGAATCCACTGGATTCCTGGACTCCGGTCAGCCTTGCAGTGGCCCCGAGTTGAGGCTCCTGGTGAGCGCGCCACACATGTTGTGCAAGCAGAAACATTCTCCTGCAGCAGCCATGGGGGAAGAAATTTGGCCACTGGGAATGGTAGGTGAGCAACTGGTTGTGCAACACCACCCAAGTCTGCATTTTCAAAGCATTATCCAAAGTGAAACTCAGTTGTCCTTTGTGGTGTCCACTTCTCCAAATTTGGTGGTGAAGTCCTCTGATCCAGTTTGTGCTCAAAGATGTGTATATTACAGAAAATAACAAGAAGAAATGCAAAATATATTAGGAACAATGCTTGCAAACATGCTTTTGTTAGGCTAGAAATGCATGCAATGATATATGCATTAGGAAGAAGTTGCAGAAGAATACTTATGGATTTTTGAAGCTGCTGAGAGATGGCAGCTACGCTCAGAGGCAAGAGGCAGTCTTGATGGAATGGAGCTGATATGATTGTCCCTATTGATTAGAAAGGGCTGGCACTGCCTCGCTGTGAGCCAGGATGCAAGAATCTTGGGATTCTAACACCACTAGCAACCCACACTTGGAAAGAAATCACATAGCTTTCTAAATCAAGTGGTGCATTTGAATGCAAATCTGCTGTTGCTTTGCTCCATGTGGAGGGGGAAGAAAACAGCCTTGTGAGGTTAAACGAACCCTGGCCAGGTGGGTGGATGGCCAGTTGCCTGCTCCAGTCCTTGTGTCCGGAAGAAGACTCTCCGCTCCCCTTTGTACCATTCAGTTCCATTCAGTAAGCCAAAACCTTTGGCAAGGGGTAGAGGAGAAGCCATTTAACTCCCTTCTAAAGCGGAGTAGCCCAAGGGATATGAATCACCATCATGCATAATCGCTTCCAGCTGTCTTGGCAGATTGACAATTCATTTTTCATCCAGGCTATTTGTCAAGGCGGCAGCAGCAGTCAACAAAAATGGCTGCAAAATGTCAACCCATGTGTGCCAAACTTTGCGACTGTCTGATTTTTTTCCTGCATTATAAATGTGACAACCAGCAAATCTAGGAAAGGCTCTTCTCTGATAGTGTCTGTCTGTTGAAAGTCTGGTTGCTAGGACTATATTACAACTGCTGTGTCCCCTGGAACATCCTTTGAAAATCTTCTAAGTAAACAATATATCCTTGGTCTGAGTTGTTTCTACTGTGCATCCTTCTTTCTGTACACTATGCAACAATTTATCAGAACGATATCAGAAGGAAGAATTATGCCATTAGAGGTTCTTCTGTTTTGGTGCTCTTCTTGTTTCTGCATGTGATTTTTCTGCTCAAGAAGCCCAAATTACATCCACATGGAAACCTAAAGTAGGGCAGGCAGAGTGCAAAGCATCACACACAGCCTACATTTTGGATGATAAAGCTAAGGAGCTCCTGGTGAGGAGTGAGCTGTGATACAAGATATCCCAAGATTTACACTCTTTCCCTCCTTGCTCCACACAGGGTGTGCTACCAATCCTACTGTGGGGAATTCTGAAACAAAGACCATTAGGAACTTACATATTCATTTACTGAACAGATTTCTGACCCACGTTTCCTCTCCAAAGGGGGGAAATAAGAGAGCCTCTCAGAGTGGATTATAAAATATAAAAAGCATGAAACCAAAAACCAGTCATGAACACATTTTTACAGCATGCTAAAAGCACCAGCAGCTCCAGTATCTAAAACTTAGGTCAATATAAAAAATTAAGCAATAGCAAAGCGAGAGGGTTGTTTGAGGAGAACGTTTTCCCATTGCTGATGGGATATGAATGATCATGCTCATGAGAGCCAGTGCAGTGTAGTGGTTAGAGCATTGGTCTGGGGACCTGGAAGATCCAGGTTCTAGTCCCTACTCAGCCATGAAGCTCACTGGGTGACTTTGGCCGGTCACTGACTCTCAGCCTAACCTTTCTCACGGGGTTGTTGTGAGGATAAATTAAGAGGAGAAGAGGCACGCAATCTTCCTTGGGTTCTTGGAAAGGAAAAATGGTGGGACACAATACAATAAATAGATGGGATGGTGATTTCAGTCTACCTTTAGTTAATTTTAGTCATTTAGTCCAAATACTGGAGGATATTGGATTTAGGGGAATACATTTAAGGCCAACAAAAACCCAGTAATGGTGAGCATGTTGGGTCGGCGCTGAGCTGAATTTTCATGGCTCGACATTTGGCAAGGGTTTGGGCTCCAACGAGAAATTGGGAAATAGACTGAAGTAGCCAAATGTGTGGCAGGAATGACTTGTCAAGAAAGTCTTCATGATGGTGCAAAAATATAGGCCTAAAACTGCACCCCACTTGCTGATCCGTGGTTCTTTCTTCAGAGGTGCATGAGAGATTTTAGATTTTTCAATACCTAAAACCAGGATGTTGCCAGCAGCTTCTGAGAGGGAAGAATGAGGCCACAAAGGATGCATCTGTGAAGAGAAAAATGCTAGAAGACTGAGAATGCACCCCGAGTGCTGCTTGCATGCTCTGGAAGACCTCAGGTGCATGAATGGGATTCTTTTAGTGGGAGATGAAAAGGTCTGATCCTGGGACTTTCTGCATGCAAGGAATGCCGCTGCCCACTAAGTTACAGCCCTTCCCTAACCACAGAAGTGGAGAGATCATCTGAAGAACACTGATTTTGCAAAAGCCCCTCCCTTCCTATAACTCTTAGCTCAGCTTTTAGGCTCTTTTGCTGCGGATTTTCAGTTTAGGTGTACAGGAGAAGGTTGCTAAGAGACATAACCAGTGATAGCAAGAGAGCGAGAGTAGAGGACATGATGAAAAGCCATAAGGAATGTTTATTTTGCATGCGGCAGAACTGACTAGAACAAATTTAAGGGATCCCAGAGCTTGCCTCCAGTCTGTTACTGTCATAAAAATATAATAAATGCCATCATAAACCACATACTATTTAAATTCCAGTATTCACCCCCCCCCCATTTTTTATAATGCCTTAGATCCAAAAGCATTTGAGAAAGCCTTGAACATTGGGATGGAACGAAAATCTTGCCAGTCGCTTTTTAATATCTGCTCCTCAAAAAGCAAACAAATGCTCATAACAGAATGGTTTGTATTTGAGTGGTACCTTCAGCCTGTCTGCACCCTGTGATTGGGTTTGCTTAACTGCTACCAGATTAGTAGCATTTCAGTAGAGTCTGTGCAGTCCTGAGCACAAAGCCACTTCAGGCTGTACAGATGGATGGGAAAGCGGAGGCTGGAACTGGTTCCCGGCATCAGTTGCAACACGCTGAAGCCGGCAACCAGTCAGCAGAGACAAGTGTTCCATAAGAGCTGAGCATTGCCTCTCTGGGTCCAATGGGAGGGTTCCCCCAATTGCAACTTTTGCAAGCCGCTGTGGGCTGGAAGTTCTGCTGAGATGCCCGGGGAGGAAAGGCTCCGACGTCCCTGCCCTTGCGCAAAGGCAAACTCAAGTGAATTACGGTGCGGCATCATGGGGTGCAGTTAAGCTATGCAGAGAAACACACACACACCGACACATGGTTTTCGGTATGAATGACCCTGGGTTCTCTTACTAACCGTAACTCAGGCATTTCTTCTATGCAAACGCGAAAGCACTATGTAAGAGCAGGAGGCACACATCTTGTTTCTGTTTAACTGGGAACAAGTAACTCAAAGCATATCTTTGCTAGCGCATGTATCTCTTTGCTGTCATCAGGCTTGGCCTCCAGTCAGTTTATTCTGCAACGCTGATTGGCAGCAGCCTGGAACAGCGTTTGTTGTTCGGCGGATGCCATGAAAATTAATTTTCTGTATTGATCATCACGGCTGAGATGCTCCCTTGCTGTTCAGCTTCATATTTCTCTGCCACCCACCACCCTTTGCCTTCCCCTGTGAGATGCCATTAAGGTTCCTTGTGCTGTTGATGTTTTCCCCATAGGTGACATAAATCTTTGGAAACCAGAACTCCCTCTGATTTTAATGGGCTCAAGATGTCAGACTGTATCTATTCTACAGGGGTAGCAAGCCACAGAAAACGATGTTACATCCAGGGAGAATCTTTTGCAGTAAATGATGGAGTCCGTGGTGCCTTCAAGCCAGCTCATCAGTGCTCCTGGGTCTACCTCCAAAGAGGAAGGACAGAAAAGGAAGGAGGATGAAGGTGAAGGAAGGAAGGGAGGAAGGAAGGGAGGAGGAGGAGGAGGAGGAGGAGGAAGGTGAAGGAAGGAAGGAAGGGGATCTCCATGCCCTTCTCATATGTGTCCTTCTGGCAAAATTGGGATGGTCTATTTGGGTCTTGACAGGAATTCAAAGCAGCTTACAATCTTCCTCCTCCTCCTGTCCATTTTATCTTCACAACAACCCTGTGAGGTGGGTTGGGCTGAGAGTCTGTGACTGGCCCAAAGACACCCAGTTGGCTCCATGGCCGAGCAGGGATTCGAACCCGGATCACCTGAGTCCCAGTCCCATGCTCCTAGCCACTACACCACACTGCCTCTCCAGAGATACACATCTCAGTCCTAAGAGAGCAGGAGAAGGCCTTTGAACTGATTGCCAGTGGTTACCATCTGGTGACAACCTGGTCACAGAATCCCTCACATGGGTGAGAGAAATTATGTTATTATTTAAATTATAGTAACTTATACAAATATGCACACATTTATACCTAACTTTGCATCTATACAAAAATCTAAATTTGCATCTCTGAGTTAGGCTGTTCCACATACTCTTCTGTCCTCTGTTTGGGCAATGTGTAACTGGCCAGCTCACCTACCAGAGGGTGTGTTTGGTAATATACTTCCAAATATGGTAAATCAGCTCTTCTGAACTTGGAGGGGACTCTCCTCCACACCCAGCTGGCTGGTCCTTGCCTGTCTAGCCCAAAGCCCCATCCTAATAGATTTCAAATAAAACAAGCACACACACAGAAAACAGGAGAGATAAGAACATGCTTGATAGGATTGCTAATTGGGATCTTGCATCAATTTATCTGAAATTGCAGGACAGAATCCTGGATGTTCTTACTGGTTTTCAGCAAGTACAGACTTCACCCAACACTGCGGCATTTTGAAATACAGAGGGGGAAATGAAAATAATGGAAAACAACATTCCTTCAGTCTCCCTTGCCAAGAGACATCTCGAAAGGTCGAGAAACTCAACAGGAACAAGCAAACCAGAGGAAGCAAACCCCCTTGCCCATGCCTTAATGCCACAAGGCAGATTTGCTCCACAGAAGCAAAGTTTGCAGACTGCGATTAACTCTCGCAGAAATTGCCCTGGGATGAATATGGAATCTCCTGCTCTTCTAACAAAATTTACAAATTCCAATGTTTTTAATGGGTGTGTTGAATGATGGAACTACATCAAACACCTCCACACATATATGTTTGGGGAGCAGGTCATGTGATGGAAACGCACACTGTTATGTTCTAAGATCCTACGACAGGGTCCATGCTACACTCTGCCAGCCACCCCCTGCTGCTTTTGACATACGGCAAACAGATCCATGCACATGATGCTAAAGAACTTGTGGCCATTCTTCTGCTGAACTGAATGCCAGGAAGGAAGCAAGGAAGGACAGACAGACAGACAGACAGACAGAGTGCACAAAAAGTGCATGTCTACAGTCTTCCAACATTGTCTGGAGAGCCTTGGAATAGGTCCAAAGGCCCATGACCTTGGAAATATCTTCTGAATTTGGAGCCCGGGCTCCAAGCTTGGAGCCATTGTCCTCCCCTCCCAGCCAGCATGGCTCTCCAAATGCTGTCTGGCCTTCAAAAACTGAAGGCTCTTTCCAGAACAACCCCTAAGCCAGCTCTGGGGTGGGCAGAGGAGGAGCAAGGCGCTGCAGTCCTCTGAAGCATCCCGGCGGTGCCTCAGCCTTGTAAGGCAGGGAAAACGTTTAGGAGGCTGAAATGGGGCATTTGAACCCTTTGGGGGCCAGGGAACTGGGGTGGAGATCCTTCCCTGTGCACTCCTTCTGCCCCCCCCCCATTGCATGCCCACAATCCTCTGCTCTTGGAGGGCCACAGAGAGCCACGCTGGATGGCATCCTGGTCAAATCAACAGTGGAAATCTATCGTCTCATTGCAAACTGCTGCTGTTGCTAGTGAGACTTGTTTTCAATTCAGCTAAATGCTTTAATACTACCCTTCGTAGATTACAGTTTGCCCATAATTCTGTTTCACAGATCCTGCTTTAAATTACCTTTTTGTTAAGTGCTGAAGCATGCATTACTCTAAATTTATATCTAGCAACTCTTTCCCTTTCCTTTTTCATTGTAGAACAAGTGCAGGGAGTTCAAACTGGATAGGAAATAACATTCATGATCCCACATCAGGGTTCCAATCCAGAAATGTAAGATATAAATACAACTAAATGCTTAAATAAATGGGCACTAATTACATTCCATTTATTTGATCATTTCACAGCAATGCTTTTCGCTTCATTACTGTTGACCTCAAAGGCTGTACTTTCTAGCTTTAAGCCCATTCATATTCTCTAACTTCTATATACTAACAGTGAAATCGTATCCTGGATGTGGCTTCTTACGGAATCCAAACTGCACTATCCACAAAGATTTTGTGGGCAGGTTGAGGGCATTGCAAGCACTGGCAGAAGTACAGGCACTTTAGAGAAGGAATGCCTAACGGTGAAGCTGACCAAGGTCACCTGAAGCGCTCAGAAACCGTGCAGTGATAACTTTCAGAGAGACGAACGAGGGAAGAGAAGGAAATTTAATGGGGCATCTTGAGAAAGGATGCAGAGACTGTCTGGCATTGAGTCTCCAGAGGGAAGCACTGCTGTTCTCATTTTCTTGTTAAAGAACATGAAGAGGAGAGCAGGAACAATTTGTCAGTTCTCATGTCAGAGGTCTATGCTCAGGGTGGGGAGGGTGGAGAATGAAGTCGTTCAACTTTTGCTTGATCCGTTCTGTCTGTGTTATGCAGGCTGCCGGGTGTCTTTCTTTCTGTCAACTGCTCGTTGAAAGAAACTTTTTTAGGGACTGCCAAGAATTTTGCTTGCTTGCAGTTGTGTATTTGCGCACTTCTGCTAATGCTCATTAGTGCAAATATGCCATTGCACAAATCCCTCCCCCATACACCAAAAAAAGTTAAATCCATGGAAGACCTGTGGCACGGAAAAAGCCAGTGCCCTGCAGAATGGAAGACAACTGTGTTTTCCTGTTTCAGGGGGAAACTGTGTTCAGATTTTGTGCATATCTGATGCTCTCTAATGCTGGATATGAATTCCCATGCGATAAAAGACTCCATATACACCCTTCATATTTGATGTTTCCAATCTCCTTTGAAGCAAGATATAAATCAATCAGAATCAGCTTTCTCCAATACCTTTAACTAAAAGGGGAAATAAAGGTTTCCTTCCAGGACAAACAATACGAATGTACCACCAATGCCTGTCTTCTTGTTCATTCAGTAATCATTCTTGGAAGTCAGCTGGCAGGACCACTTTGGTGGATCACTGTGGATCCACCTGCTCTCACTGCCTGAGCTCTGTCCATTCAAGAACTAAAATAAAACAAAACCTCACCATGGCTTCTCCCAAAAAAGAGTTTAGTAAATCACAGAAGAAATGGAGAGAGAAAAGTTCTACACATCCTTTCCAATTCCTCGTTGTCATTTCTGTCTAGACTTAAGGTGTTTTTATGAATAATAGAACAGGAAAAACTGTGTTTCCTCTCTCGGAGGAGCGCAGACAACATTGGTAACCTGACTTCACTGCTTTTCTTTGCTTTAGAACACCCTTTGCATCACTGGGGTGAGGAAACTTGAGCTTTTGTCAGCCTCTGCTGAGGCCAAAGGCAAAGGGAGCAGGGTCAAAAGCCCCTGGATATTTTAGCTTAGAAGCTTTGATGACTGCTGTGGAAGCCTTGGCAGAGGCCTTTTGACCTTCCCAAATGAGCTCCCTAAACTGTCCTGATGCCCTCAGGTGTAGTGGAAGATGCTTTCCCATCACCTGCGTTGAATTTTTACTGGCTCCCTTGCTTGGAATGGGAAAGGGAGTACCGTTTTTGCCAGTGCCTTGGGCAGCAAATTACCTCTGGCACATCCGGGGCTTTTTGAGCTTTGGACAACCCTTGGGAAATCTCTCAGTTTGTGTTACCCACTAACGAGCATTATCTTTGAAGCCGAAGCTCATGCTAACTCATCATAGGTTGGTTTTACTATTGCAAGCTAAAGGATGTTGCCCAACACACTTGCATTGGTGGTGGCCAGCAGAAGGAAGCCAAAGCCTTAATTTTTAAATAAATAGTCATTACTCATTAGTGAAGATAAGACCTCTTCAGCTACAAGCAAACTCCAGAGACTAGACTCTTGGCAGAAATAGTGTCCACTAAGCTGCCAGAAAGGATTAACTAAGCTAAGGGAGAACCTCACGTCTCTGGCCATTTGGACAGGAAGCTTACTACATGTCATAAAACTGACTACTCATACCCAGTCTGGTCACTGGATATGCTCCAAGCAAAATAGAGTCAGACAAAGAGCACAGAGTTCAAAACGAGCCAAAGGGAAGTTATTCTGAAATGCTTTTGTTGGTGTTTCTGAACTTATTGCATGTTGTTGACCCATCCCTGCAACCCTGATTCTGTTACAAATCTCTTCATTCCTCTGCAGCCTCCCAGGCTGCCCACACTTATTGATCTGGAAAAGCCCTGCAGGAAGAATGTCTTTCCTTGGGCCTTATTTGAGTGCGGGAAGTCGAGGGGGCTGCAGGCTGCCAGAAAGATGATTGCAGGACCCTCAGACACACTGCTCAGCCCCCTCCCTAGCAAGGTAAACACACGAATCCTGAACCCAGTCCATGAATATTCCTCTCAAACTGCTTCTCCTTTGCATTTCCTTTTGGAAACAATTTCTTTTCTTTCATGAAATTGAACAAGAATGTTAGGAAAAAATGTGGAATACAGTTTTGGCACAACATTGCTTAATCCCACCAAGCACGCCTTGCAGCCTCTTGCTTTGTTCAATACGTGGGTATCAGACATGACAATTTTATGGTGTGCCACTGCATATTTACTACTGCTGCTACATGGAGATGCAGTTTCTATGGCAACACACCTTAACTGTCTGCCTTGTGTGGCAAATGCATCAGTGGAAGATAATTCGAGGGATGTTTGTTTGTTTGTTTTTAGTAGCCAAAGCTGGGGATGCATTTAACACCTTCCTCTAAAGAGAGGAACAAACTACTCCCGTGCCACTGGAAGTTAGTGATCCTGTTTCAGGAAAGGCACAACACAGTGGAAAGAAACTATGGCTAGTTGGCCACAGAAATCATCTTCCAAGTTTCCATGTGCTATATCCTTAGACTTTGCTGCCATAGTTTCATAGAAGAGTACTGGAACTTTGTATAATCATCATTTGTCCTGCCGGAGATTAAGTAGCCTACATTCTTCTCATTACATTCCAAGAATAATTTGTAATTATTTCTCTTAGCTCAGGTGCTTGAAAATGGGAAACATGACTATCTAGGCAAGTATGGGGTAAGTTACAGAGCACAAAAGGGCCATTATATATATTAAGACTTGATTAAATTAGGCATCATTAAAGGTGGATGCCAGTTGAGGTAGGATGCAATTGTTTAAATGTGATTAACTTATTTTTATGATATATGAGAACAGAAGGTTCTTGAAAGGTCCTCTGCTGACTAAAAAAGAGAAAATCAGTAAGTGAGAACCAACACTCTTTTGGCGATTTAGAAGCATTTAAAATTGGAACATAATTAAGATGGAATTACTGCTTACATTTCTACCAAAAGGAAGAAATGCATCACCAGAGAAGGTGGTGTATACATTTGCACATCAGTTTATAAATGTACCATTCTCTAAATAATTGCTATAATTATAGTGAAATTATATTGACTGGGAGTAGACAGTCCCTCAAACACAGGATATGGTGACACAGAGGACTGCCCTCTGTAAAGTAAGATGCATGATCACTCTAAAGTTCAATAGGACGGGTTCCAAAACTCATCTGCTAGAGAGACATACCTATATTTGATTGCATTTAGGTTTGTGCATAGCTGATATAAATTAATATAATTTCTTGCTCCCTTATGCATCTCTGTGCTGAGAAAGCCAGATGAAGGAATCCAATTTCTTCTAGATTCCCGAAATAGATATATTTAGATATATTTAAATCGAGCTGGCACCTTCAAGTGGTGAAAGCAAACAGCCATCAGAGAGCCTGATGGAGAAGCTTCCTGACCCGCCAAGCAAATTAAACGGCAGGGGCACCAAGCCCAAGGTGCTACATTTCGCAATCAGTGCAATAATATACATTATCAAAAAGTCCACCCTTCAAAGCCACTGAGCCCAGAAACTGCCCCACTGGATTTCATTTTGCAAATAGGTAGCATTCTCTGGTTCCTTCTGGCAGCTACTTTGGAGGCTCCTTCTCTTGTTTGCTGCTTCCCACTTTCCAGTGGGGTGCAAAGGTCTGATCAAATTCCACTGAGTTCAGGATCCTTGACAGCTAGATAAAGCCAAACATTGGAAGCGTGTCCTGAGGAGCATGTTTGGGAGGGCCCTTCGCATCCAAAGACAGAGTTCTGCTCTGGTCAGTTTGTCACTGCGATGACACTTTCGGGGCGCTGGTGACATACTGCCAGAAGAGAAGCAATGCATCACCTCCTAGATGGGGAAGAGAGGGGGCATTGTTTGTATAGTACATTCAGATGCTAACATATATGCAGATGCAATTTCAAAATTATAATTTTAATAGAAATGCAATACTGCAGGACGTGAATCCACATCAAACAATTCCGGGCCAACACTGTTGGATTGGTGGATACATTTGGGATTTTGAATGTGTACTT